CGAACCAGGACGCCTCAGACCCAGTTCTTTCCTGGAAGTTCATTAAGCCCATTTGCGGAGCCTTCTCAGTGGCTGGCATGCGGCTATGTTTATAAAGGCTGTAAATAATGCGGTCTTGTTTTTTTTCTGAAAGATTTTAATGGCACAAATTGTTTCCACACAGTAAGCAATATCCTTCATTCCTCTCGAAATTATTTTATTTAAACACTTCCGATATTAACTAAGACTTTATGGACCTATGTTATACTGTAATTACAACACTGTGGAGAATGAGGCTGGAAGGTTGCAAGTTCAAGCCCACCCTAGGCAGCTAAGTGACTTAGCAATACATTGCCTCGAAATAAAAGATAAAAAGGGCTGGGGTGTGTAGCTTGGTCTCGAGGCTCTAGGTTGGATTCCCAGTACTGCGCACACACCACGCACACACACAGTCCTCCTGAACTTAAATTTTAAGCAGGGCATGGAAAGCCATGCCTTTTTTCTGCCACTCAGGAGGCTGAGGCAGACACCGAGACCTGTGTGGACAACTCAAGAACATGTATCAAAAAAATGTAAAAGGGTGGGGAAGTAGCAGAGGTAGAATGATTGCCTCAAATGCACAAGGCACTGAGTTTGATCTCCAATATCACACAAAAAAAGGCTAATATGTGAGTATATGTCAATATGGATAGTTATCATTATTGACCTGTTGGTCTGTTTAAACCCAACCATGACCCTGCAATGAAATGAGAGAAAAGGTAAAGGTATAAGCAAAACCTCATACATAATTTCTTCCTTTCTTAGTTGTCCATACTCCCTGCTTGTAATTTGTAAGATTTTTCTCTTCGTCTTTTGTGTTCAGAAATTTCACGAAGTACAAGATTCTAGGTATGAAAAAAAAAAAGATTCTAGGTATGTGGTCTTTTGTTTTATCTGGAGTTGATGAGGCTTTTCGATTTGAAGACTCAAAAGGGTTTTTTGGCTTCTATTTTGTCTCTTCCAAAAACTGTCCCTGTCTTGTTTACTACTTCTGCTCTGTCCATGTATTTGTGGGGGAAGGAACACTGGGGATCAAACCCAGGGTGCTGTACAACTGAGTTACATTGCTAAGCCTTTCTTATTTTTCGAGACAAGATTTCACTAAGTTTCTCCCAGCTGCCCTCAAATTTAGGATTATCCTGCCTCAGCCACCCGTGCAACTGGGATTGCAGGCTTGTGCCATCTCATCTAACTATATTCTTTGCCCCTTGATTATCTGTGCATTAATAAGCTTATCAAAATTATCTGTTGCCAACATGGCTCTTACGGGGTCCCCCATTTTGCTCAGTTTTATATATTTTGGGGCAGCATGTTTGTTGTTGTACTAGGTATTTAAGCCAGTATCTTCACACTGAATGAGGTGGATAAGCTTGCTAACTTGATTGGCTTGGGAGGCACACAAGGATTGTGAAAGCACACTTCTGGGTGTGTCGGGGTGGCTCCTGGAGGGACAACATCAGGGCTTTATTTCCAACCCCTTGCTTCTCCCTGACATTGTTCCCCTGCTCTGCTTTCCAGCTGCCATGAACTAAGCAGCTCTGCTCCAGCATGCCCTTCTGTCATGATGTGGCTGCCTGCAGGCCAGACAACCATTGATTGAATCCCCTGAAACCGTAAGCCCAATAGCACCTTTCCGCCTTTAAATTAATCAGAGACAGGCATAGTAATAGAGGAAATCAGCAATGGAGAAGTGGGTCGTGGGCTTGGTTTGTGGGGGGGGGGAGATGATAAAAGTGTGAGGTGTGGCCTATAAACCCCCTAGAATGTTGTGAGCAGAGGACTATAGATGACTGGTCAGAGTTCGAAAGATCAGAATGCTGATAGACAGGCTGTTATGGTCTGTGTCTGGACGTCCCCCAAGCCTCTTGCAGTCATAGGGCAGGCCTCCACAGTTTATAATTAATTCATGATTCAATGCTGAGATTATGGGTGAGTTTGGGTAGATAACCTACATGTTATGTGAGCAAGGGAAAGAAGCTTGCTCTCTGACAATGCTCCTCCCTTTATGCCCTTGCTTTTGCTCTTTTCAGCTGCCATGAACTGTTGCTCTCCGCCATGTGCCACTCTGCCTTTGAGCCAAGCTGAACTGAAACGTCCACAAACTGTGAGCTAAATAAATTTTTCCTACCTTAATTCTGGGTGTCAGGTATATTGTCCCAGCAACAAGAGAAAAGTAACCAAGACACATGAGGGTAGTAAAGGCCACCTTCAAGATTTTGGCTGGAAACAAGGACTTCCTTGGCACCTGGACTACATTTGTTCATGTCCTGAGAGTTTGAGGGAGATTAAAACAGAAGGCAGCGGACTGATTTTGCAGAGGTGATTTCATTGTGGCCCTTATTTCAGGCTGTAGCACAGATACTGCAGGATGCTTTTAGTTGGGTCTATATTAAGAATTAAGAAAAAAAAGCAAGCAGAAAATCTTATATTTGGGCCCACAAGAAACCATGTATAAATTGGGGCCCAAGAAGATGAAGTTGTTTTTGTTGTTTTTTTAAAAATGTATTTGGTACAAGGTCTGCAGGGTCTACAGAGTCTCACTACATAGATTGGACTCATAGTGATTCTCCTGTTTTCAGCCTCCCAAGCACTAGGATTAAAGGCGCCCAATACCATGCCCAGTCTCAACTGCAGTCTCAGCATGTCCCAGGGGCGGGGCCAGCATGGCACCCTAGGAATTGAACCCTGGCTGCTGCATTCTGCCGTAAGCAGGTGCTCTAGTCTGCTGAGCTCTCCGGCTAGTCCTGGAGATGTGGTTGTTGATGAGTTTAGCACCATTAAAAAGAAACCATGGTAGTTACACAGGGACAGGACAGAAAATACCTTGAAGGCCTATCAGAAATCAACAGACTCCATCCGTGTAGGCTCAAGGGTATAAAAGTGTAAATGTTTCAGTTGACAAGAAAGTTTCTGGGATCTTGCTCAAGGAAGGCCTCCTTAGACATTGGTTCCCCCGCATTCATTCCACTGTGCCCAGCCATCCAGGCAATGCTGCCATGGTTCAAGGGTACCTGGCTACTGCCTACGCTGGTGGCAGATTGGCAGCATCCATGAGATAGTGGTTTTACCAGCATGCAGAATGCAAGAGTGTAGGGTTGAGGGTGCTTCTACCTAGATTTCAAAGGCAGGCCTGGGAAGACAGGCAACAGGCCTGTAAGAGGACAGTATGTAAAGTTGTAGGAATGCTACAGCTAAAAGTACAGTGGAAACTCCACGAAGTCAGATGCCAGACACATAGAACATCTGCCACAGAAAACTGCAGGTACACTCTGTCAACTCAAGTGAAGGAAGCCCTGTAACCAGCAAGACCATAGGGGGGTGAGGCTGGCCAAGTCATTTAATGCTTACATCAAGCACTGTATGTCCCAGACACTGGATATGGGGCTACAAGACTTAAGATTGGTCCTCTTAGGCCAATCTCTTAGGTTGGTGGCTAATCCTGCCAACCCGATTCACTTGAGAGCTTCCTGGACATTGGTAAAACACTTCTGGGTATGTCTCCGTGGGTCATGGCAGTGCATTCTCTGGAGCTCCACCTATGCCCTTTCGCCTTTCTCATCCACATTGCTTCCCTGCTCTGCCTCTGGGCCACATGACCCTGTAGACCCTGTCCTAAATGGGGGGGGGAAGGGGGGAGAGGAGGAGGAGGAGGAGGAGGAAGAGGAGGAGAGGGGGGAGGGGGAGGGGAAGGAGGAGGAGGAAGAGGAGAAGGAAACAAACTTGTGTGAGGCACTGTGTTGCATTCAGGGTTGTGTGAACAGCACTGATGTTTTAAGAATGGTGTTGAGTGCTGTTTGACTATTGATTCGCCTAATGTTAGCAAAGTTATACTAAAAATAGGCCATTTCATCAAGTAAAAATACAAGAAGTTCCAAAGTAACCCTTGTGAGATTGAGGTAGGAGGAAAGCAAGTTGGAGGCTGCTATGAAGGCACGGTGGAGACCTAGTCCCCAAACAAAATAACAAAACCAGCAAACAAAAGGAAAAATGCAAGGTACTACTGTGACCGAAGAAAAAAGACAGTAGTGAGCAGTAGCTGATGGGAATCCCATCTCACCGACATCCCCAAGAAATGTGGCTGAGAGTCCAGTCCAGCCTTACTGCAGTGATCAGGCAAGGGGAAGAAAAGTGAACCCGACGCTTAAGACCAAAAGGATAAGTCCAGCCTCTTCTAACCGTCCCACTCCTGGCCTAACCCCTCCCCGTACTGGTCCCCTCTCTGGAGAACTGACTGTAAGAGTGGGTCTTACAGTGGTGGTACTTTTGGATAAGGAATGAAAAATAACAAACATGTAAACACACACACACACACACACACACGCAAAGCCTTAGAAATGTTAGTTTACCTTCCCAGGAGGATGCTACACAACCCAAGGCTGCGACATCCCCACTGTATCCCTATCTCCCTCTCTCCTCCCTCGGGGTGCCTCTGCTATCTGCACATTTAGAAAGGCATGGAAGGTAGGGCCCAGTTTCGGACGGCCTTTGCGAGCCGTGTAAACGCGGCCACGTAACTCCCGAGCGCGTCGCCTCAACTGTGAAACAGAGACCACGACCCACTTCCGATTTACGACGCTCGAGGAGGAGCGAGCTCCGTGAACTTGACCTCCCCAAGGAGGAGCCAGTGGGGTACCAGAAGCGCAGCCAAAGACTTTTCTCTGCCTCCCTCAGTGCGCCCTGAGCGCTTCAAGGCTTCTTTCTCGCGTCTGGAAGCTTGGCCAGCCCCCGGCCTGTTGCACCGTGGAGACTCGGCGGGCTGACCCCACCCGCGTCGCAAGTCCAGGACGAGGAGCGCGCGCCGAGATTCAAACGTAAGGTCTCAGCCCCTCCGGACAGCGGAAGCCGCCGCACCCGCCCCGGCAACCGCAGTCCAGGCTCCGCCCCCCGGCGCCCATTGGCCCATTCAATTCACGCCCGCACCAATGGGCAGGGGCGGTCTTCAGGGCTCGAGCCCGCCGCGGCGTTTGCGGAGCTTGGTCGGCGCAGTCTGAGGGAGTCCGCGTCCGCTCTCGGCGTCCCTGCCGTACCCCGGGACATTCGCGAGTCAGAGAGCCCAGTCTTCATTGAAAGGTGAAGGTGGCGGAGGAAGCGGCGCTAGCGGGTGAGCGGCTGGTCTACTGAAGGAAAGCCACTGGGAGCGGCGCGTCCAGCGCTCAGGGGCCCGGCCCGAGGACCACCTTCGCGCCCAGCCGCAGTGCTCCGGGGGTCGGTGTCCGAGCGGCGGTGATGGTGTGGGGCTGAGCGCCTCCCTCGCGGTCGTTACAGGCCGGGGGGGCGGGCCCTGGCGGCGCTGCGGGGCGCTGCGGGACTCCCGCGGAGCTCCCGCGGAGAATCGGGCTCCTCGGGGGCGTGTGTCGCCCGGGCCGCCTGCGCCTGCGCGGGACCCTGCCTCAGCGCCAAGCAGGTGTTTGCGGTTGTTCCCAGTTTGGTCTCCGGCTTTTTGGAAATCTAAATAGACCAGGATGTTCTACATAAATAATGTTATTTTGTTGTTGTTGAACACAGGAGAAAACGGAAGAAAGAAAGCTCACCTAACCCGATTCGAGTAAATCAGATCTTGGAGACTAGTGTCTCATCCCTACCACATTTAGTTTAAGTTTGCCTTTTGGTAATAATATTCCTCACACTATTCACACACAGTAGTCAGTGTGATTATTTTTTGTTGAAAATGTTTCTTACTCAGAGTGATTGGGGGTACCGTTTATAGTAACAATCTCTTATTAATGGGACTATTTCTTACTCAGTTGGAAACTTTGCTATATAGAAGAGACTATTTCAAGTAGAAGTTTTTTACTATGTATTTATTTTGAGACAATCCTGCAAAGGCCCTAAATTGTCCAGGTGAGGCGCAAACTGATCCTTCTGCCTTGGTCTCTTACTAGAGTACAGGGTTTATAGGTATGCAGCACCGTTTTTTGCTTGTGGTAGGGTTGTCAACGTAAAACCACCATTTGGTCAACAGTATTTATTTTCAGTTATTTGATGTTTTAACCAAGGTTGACTTGTTGCTCTTTCCTTTTTACAGCAAAGAAGACATATTCAAGGAGTATCTGTTAAAACGAAAAATCACTTTTGACCTACAAACGGGAATATCATTTCCAGGTGAGGTCAAATTTACTTCATTTCAGTTCCAGAAAATTATTTTAGAGATGTCCAATAAAAGCTTAATCATACCAGATCTGTAGTCTAAAATGTTTTATCAGCAACATTTAAGAAGTGTTAAAAAAGAAGAAATGAACTTTAATAACATTTAATCCATTATACTCCTGATGTGTTATTTCTGTATGTGAGGGCTAGAGGTAGCTCAGTAGTTGAAACACTTTGCCTGGGCATGTTAAGGCCCTAGGGTGAATTCTCAGTGTCACAAAAAGAAAAAAGAAGTGTTACATTTGCTTCCAAATCAGGTGTGTATTTTGCACCCTTGGTGCAGCGCTTGATCATTGTTTTCTATATAATTTTGTACTACTAAAGGGGAAGTAATTTCAAAGGTGTATATGTGTATGCCAAAATATTGACTTTGTTTTTTTAAAATTTTTATTATTATTATTTTTTGACTGAGTTAGAATACATCATTTATTGAGGATGGGGTGAATCAGAAGGCAAGGGGCCTTCCGTGTTTTTTTTTTTTTTTTTCAGTTTCAAACCAAATTGGTAGGACAGTTTCAATAATTAACACATTGCATACATTCTTCCTAGTGGTTAATTGTTGTACAAGATGTGGACATATCTTATTTACAAACACCATTAGAACAAATCCCTCTATTCATTAAGAGAATGTAACTGTATATCTAACCTAACTACTTTGAATACACAGATACAAAACGGACATTCATCTGTATCCCCTTTTCTATTAAGTTCCATTATTTGAATATTATAGGTGTGTAAACTCAGCAAAATATCCTAAGAGTCCAGTAACCCGTAATAGTATTGGGTTTTCCGCTTGACTGGCAATGTCAGAAATTGTTGACCTGAGTCCCCTACAGCTCAACATAACACCATGGCTTTACTTCTTATATTTCATTTTTATACTTTTCTGCTGGATGGTTAAGACCAAGGTAAAGCAGGACCTATGCAAGAAGAGTTGTAGCTTTTGGTTCTGATAAGGTCAGTGAAATCCCCTCAGGATTTATCCTGAGATCCTGTACCTCAGATTGTAAAACCTTTGTCAGTGTCAGCCCTGTGGATGAGTCACAGCCATTGCTTGGCCATTGTGCTCTCTGTGAAAACCTGAGAGAATGTTTTCTCTCCATGTGACTCTCCTTAGGCACACTCTACATCATCGAACACTTTCCTCTTTGGCCCCATAATCTCCTTGATCAGAAAATTTGGGACACTACCGAGTTACATGATGTAACAATACAAGTTCTCATATGTCCTGAGTCTTAATTGACCTTGGAAGGCTAGGGCCAAAATGTTGACTTTCCTTGTGGCCCTCCTTTTTCTCTAATTTTGGTCTGCAAACTTAGGTTGTTAACCATCCAGAAGACAAGCTTATTGTTATTACCATACAACTTAGGCTGTTAAGCTTAACCTCACTATCTGTCTGAGTATAAAACATCTTAGGCATAACATGGAACAGGTATTTTTCATCAAGTATTGATATGTTGAACTTTAAGTCCCTACAGAATATAATGAAAAAACATTTAAAAATTAGAATATATTTTTAAAAATAGGCATAATGAATTATATACTTCTTATGCTTACACATAAGTCCAAAAATCTCACCATATACAACCTTGAAGCAGGACAGTCCCATAATATTCCTTTTCCTATCTCTTGCCTTCATTCACCACCCCCTTCTTTTTGAACAGTCATCTACCTGAGAGATAGCACAGCAGCAACTGGCATGTCATGACAAAAATATTGACTTTGATCTAGACTTTGCTACAAAAAGCCTTTCTGTAATTTAGTAAGGCTTTTGTTTTGTTTTCTTGTTTGGTTCTGGGGATTGAATTTATGACCTTCCAAATGCTAATTTAACTTCAGGCTCTACACTGAGGTACATCTCCAATAACCTAGCAAGCCTTTTACTCAGTATTGGCGGGGAGAGGGAGCTGTTTTTTAGAAGAGTGAATATAGATTTTTGGTGCTTTGGAAAGTTTTTTTAGACTCAACTTCCCACAGAAAGAGCTTTATATTGTTTTGTTTCGTACCCATTTATGGCAAAAATAAAAGATCCATGAAAGTATATAAGACAGAAAAATGTTCCCTTAATGTCCAGAGTTAACTACACTATCTTTCTAAGGCTTTTATATGTAAAGTGTTTTAAGCCACCATGATTCAAAGCATATATTACAGGGCAGGGTGTGGTAGTGCATGACTTATCCCAGCACTTGGGAGGCTGAGGTGCAAGGATCACTGGGAGTCTGAGTGAAAAAGAATGTACAAGGTATGTCAAACTTCTCTCTCATCTCCAAGCTGATTGAGCAAATACATGTAGCAGGAGTATAACAAAAATTACTAATCATAAAAATGCCAGAGTTTTTCAATTCTAACATGAATCATTTTTTTCACATTTTAACATTATTTCTGAACTTGGGAATTTATCCTAAAATCAGTGGTGTATATAATTGACAGTATTTTTTTTCCTTTTTTAATTTTATACAAAATCATTACACTCACCTACTAAGATATTCTTATAACCTGTATTAGATAGTCTGTAGCTATAAAAATGGATATAGGTTAACATACTCTATAAGTAAGGAAAATAAGTATGGATTTTAAAAAAAGATCTTTTAAGTGCTTCTGCCATGTTGTTTATACTGTTAAATGACACTATAATGAAGTTTATTTAGGACACACAAATCTCAACTCATTTCTGTTTAAATTCTAGAGTTATGGAGTTTGGAATGTATGTATATCAGTAATAGAACAGGTGCTTAACTTGCATGGATTCTAGATTTGATCCCAGGAGATGTGCAAAAATTACATTAATTGTTAATATTCCCTCACCCACCAAAAGGAAACCTCCCAGATAAAAAATCATTTTATTATTTTATTTTTTCTAATAGAGTGATGATATCTGAAGAGCAGGTCCAAGAAGGGACAGAACTTCTGAAATTTAAAACAAAAATGGTGAGATATGGGCATAGCATGTCTGAATGGCTGTGCTTCTCCCTTTTCCCTTTCTTAAGCTCTTTCTGAAAGAAATGAGTTCTGAAATACTGATTTGTCTTTTAGGCTGATAAAGAAAACATTGGAAGACATACAGAAAACACTAATGCGACGATGGACAAGAATTATATTCCCTTAAAATCTTCTAATGAATTAACCAGTTCTTCTACAGCAGTTGAAACACACTATCTTGAGGTTGATAATGAAACTCTGCAATTGTTGCCAATTAACAGTGATTCCCAAAATCAAAATATGACACTAAGCCAGGTATTTCATCGTAAAAAAACTCATAAAAAGAAACAAATGATAGTAGAAAAACCAAAGCAAGATCCTAACATGTTAAAGAAACCTGCGCTAGGATATTACCATGGCCATATTGTTCAATCTAAGATTAATTCATTCAGAAAACCTCTACAAGTCAGAGACGAGAGTTTTGCAATAACAAAGAAACTTTCAACTACTTTGTCTAAGGGCACAAAGCCTAACCATATAAATACCAGCAGTGTAACAATAAAAAGTGATAGAGCCTCAAGTGTGACTGCTATCACTCAATTTGAGAACACTACATCTAAGAGCACACAACTTGTGCGACCTCCCATTAGAAATCACCACAGTAACATTCAGAACAGGGTCAAACAAGACTTTAACAGAACTTCTGCCAATGTTACAGTCCGAAAAAAGTTTACTGAAAAAGAACCATTACAATCAGAAACAGTTCAATGCAGTGTCATATCCAATTCTCAGGACACAAAAAATAAGGCCTTACAATCGAAAACAGTTCTACCTAGGGTCAAAACCACATCTCAGGACATAAAAAGAAGTAAGGCATTATCCCAAAACACGGCATCTGAAACTGTAGCCAGGCCTGTCTCATTTACTAATACCAAACTGACAAAAGAGTCAATAAACATTGACCAGCAAAGACATACGTTGGCAAAAGCCACTGTGGATAGATCAGCTCAGCCCAAAGAAACTGCAGAAGAGAGAAAGTGAGTAGACGCTTTACTTCATTAGGCTGTCATCTGTGGTTTGGGCTTCTAATTTTCTTTGATGTATTATTTAATGAATTCTTTTATTTGTAAGCAGATTTATGTCATGGAAAAACAAGGCATCTGAAACTGTAGCCAGGCCTGTTTCATTTACTAATACCAAACTGACAGAGAATTCAAAAACCATTGACCAGCGAAGACATACTTTGGCAAAAGCTACTGTAGATAGATCAGCTCAGCTCAAAGAAACTGCAGAAGAGAGAAAGTGAGTAGACATTTTACTTCATTAGTGTGCTATTTGTGGTTTGGGCTTATAGTTTTCTTTAACATATTATTTTGTGAATTTTCTTTTATATGCAAGCAGATTTATGTCATGGAAACACAAGGCATCTGAAACTGTAGCCAGGCCTATCTCATTTACTAATACCAAACTGACAGAGAAGTCAAAAACCATTGACCAGCAAAGACATACTTTGGCAAAAGCCACTGTGGATAGATCAGCTCAGCCCAAAGAAACTGCAGAAGAGAGAAAGTGAGTAGACACTTTGTTAGAGTGCCATTTGTGGTTTGGATTTATAATTTTCTTTAATGTATTATTTCATGAATTATTTTCCATTATATGCAAGCAGATTTATGTCGTGAAGTCACATGACCAAAACATATATGTCTAGCTATGTTTTCTTCGTTTGATTTTGATAAGTTAAATACTAATAATTGGGAAAAATTTTATGATTACCCCATTTGAAATAGTTTTTCCTTTGACAGAGTTTTATATGAGTATCAAAATAATGTTTATATCCTGCCTCTGTAGAGCTCGCCTGAATGAGTGGAGAGCTGGCAGAGGAAGAGTGCTGAAAAGGCCTCCTAATTCAATTACTATCCAGCCTGAGCCTGAAAGACAAAAGGAGAATCCAGTTGGATCGTTCTGGACAACCATGGCAGAAGAGGATGAACAAAGATTATTTACTGACAAAGTAAACAAGACATTTTCTGAATGCCTGAACCTGATTAATAAGGTAGAATCTTTCCCTTGTATTTGTGCAACATTTTACAGAGTCCAAATTATCTTACTGAACTATACTATTCTTTTGACTAAATAATGATTGTATGTTGACTTAGTACTGTGAGGTTGATAGGCTTTAATCAACTTTGTTTTGCATTGAGGTCACAAAATATATATCAAGGTTAATGGTTTTTTTACTCGAGTTTATAAAATTTTCCTCTTAGATGTTAATACCCAGTGAGTTGGGGTAGATGTTGCCTTTTTCTATCTGGTATTTCTGTTTCTTGAGTTCATCACTTTTACTAATTTTATTAAAGATTAACACAAAAAATATTACTATTAGGAAAAATTATCTTTACAGAGCCAATCATAGGTTCATATTAACTAAAATACTTTTTTATTTTAAAGAGAATAGAAAAATAATAGATAAGACATTAGAAACAATACAAAATTTAAAATAAGATGATAGGTATTCAACAGTGGTTGTTATAATGCACATTGCTGTCTTTAAAGTAGCTGCTCAGATTACAGATATAAACATAAAATCATTCAAAGTAAAACTTTTAAGCTTTATTACTTTCAAAAAACTGATAGAAATTAGTCAAATCATCTTAGCTATCCTATATATATATATATATATATATATATGTAAATGATTATTTTTTCCCCTTCATTTTCCTTTTTCTATCTTTTTCCTTTCCCTCATCCCATTTGTTTATTCCTTATGTTCAATTTCTTTCCTTTTTACTGTATCTAATATACCTTTTAGATTTTATTTATTTTCAGGTTCCCTTTTTTTTTTTAAATGTATGTATTTATTTGTTACAGGGTCTTACTATGCAGCTCAGATTTGTATCCTCCTGTTTTCAGCCTCCCCTATGAAGAGATTATAGTTGTGTGTTACCATGCTGGAACTCAGTGGCCTGCTCATCACACTTGTTGCCGGGATTGGTGTGGCTGGCAGGATTAGGACCTGCAGGCTCTTATACCAGGAAGACAATATGATGTTCATACACGTGGGTCTGATTTATTTCACTTAAAAGCATAGCCTCAGGCTGGACAAATAGCTCATTGGATTAAAGCACCTGCAAACAGGCATAGGGGCCAGATCCCTGGGCCTGTCATGTCACCTCTCCCCCCATGCTAAAACAGTGATTGAGACTGGGCATGGTGGCGCACACCTGTAATCCCAGCTCTTGGGAGGCTGTAAATAGGCGGATTACTGCGAGTCCAATCTAGTAGTGAGACACTTGAAGTGAGACCCTGAACACCCTGTAGATCCTTCCCTATAATACAAAAATTAAAAAGAGCATAGCCTCTAGTTACATGCATTTACCTATAAAAAGGCTCCAGTTTATCTTTCATTTCTTTTTGTTTGTTTTTTGTTTGTTGCCAGCTCAGCCCACTCTAAGGGCGGGGCTGGCACCATATGTGGTACTGGGGATCAAACTGCAGTCTCCTGCTCCTGCCTAAGCTTGCCAAAGCAGTTGTTTTAGACCACTGAGCTATCTTGCTGGCTCATGTTTGTTTTTCTTTATAGCTTAGTAATACCCTATAAGATATTTTCAAACAAGTACCATTACTGTATAAGTACTACACACCAACTGATTGCAGCACTGGAACACCCTAAATCCCATTAATCTAAATCAATGTTATGCTCATCTTGAATTCATTATATAATTTTTCTATTAGATAAAAATCCACTGGAGTAAATAAATCAATTCTTGAATACTATATTTCTTGCTAAATCTTCATTCTTCATTGGTTACTCACTAATATCTAAGATTCATAGCAAGACTAAATTCAGGATATGACTTCAGACCTTATACTACTTTTCATAAGCATCTTTAAAATTTGTGATTCTGAGGATCAGTAAAAATAATAATTAAAGCTGGGTGCAGTGGTATGTTATAGTTTAGGATTCTGCAAGAGGAAACTATAATAACACAGGACACTTAATTATAAGATTATTTTTAATAGTTACCCAAAGAGTCATACACAAAAGGAGTTCAAGAAATCTGTCCACACACTAAAGACCAAAGAATCCAGCTGAGGGCCTGCATGATCCCATGGTATTGTCCTGCATGAGTCCAGCTGAAGACTTAGAACCATAATAATGTTCCCCCATGAGTCTACCTGGAGGCCAAGAGCCCACAGCAATGCCCCATACTGGCCTGTTTCACTGATCTGTGTGGAGAAGACTGAAAGGTCCAGCAGGACTCATCCTTGCAGTCCACAGCTCTACTGGAGCTACTCATTTGGCCAAATGATTCATGCCATTCTCCTGGCTCTTTGCTCTTCATTCCAGACATAGATCAGGCCAAAAGATCTCAACAGTAACAATGCCATCATCTCAACAGTATACATTGAAATTTTTCTTTATCCACCTATGCAGTATCTTTAAACACAAGCAAAATGAAGACCTACTTTCTGCCAAGCACAATATACTACCTGGGATCCAGCTCACCATCCCAGCAGTTAGTACAAGCCTATAATTCCAGCACTGTGAGTTTAAGGCTATCCTGGACTACAGAGTGAGTTCAAGGCCAGTCTGAACTATATACCAAGACCCTATCTTAAAAAAAAAAAAATTATAATCAAAAGATCTATAAGCACCTGCCCAGCAAGCACAAGGACCTGGGTTGGATCCCCGGTACTGCATGCTGCACTGGCCCCACCCCTGGGTGCACTGAGCCAGCAACTTGAGTCCAGGTGTGGTGGCACATGCCTGTAATCCCAGAGCTGGGGAGACTGAAAACAGGATCACTACAAGTCCAAGCTGCGAGGTAAGACTCTGTACCAAATATAACAAAACCAAACCAAATCAATACAATTAATACAATACAATACAATACAATACAATACAATACAATACAATACAATACAATACAGGAAATTGAAGCCAACTTTTTACTGAGCTACATCTTCAGCACTTTTTATTTCTTACTTTGAGATAGGGTTTTTTAAGTCACTAAGTTGCCCTGGGTGATCTTGAAATTTTGATATTACTTTCTCAGCTTCCCAGAGTCCTGGGATGACGGGTATGCCACCATGCCTAGCTTACTGATCTTTGTTATACTAAGGTTATTAATTATTCACAGTGCAGGGAATGTGGTGCATATCTGTTATACCAGCACTCATGAGCTGAGACTAGAGAATTGCCAAGAGTTCGAAGCCATCCTGGTTACTTAGTGAGTTCAAGGCCAGCCTGAAAGCTCTATCATGAGTCCTATCAAAAAAATACACAAAAAAATTTGTTCTTATTTTGTAAGTTAAAAAATAGCATATATTTTATTTCTTGTTATTTTAGGGATGCCCAAGAGAAGAAATAATGACCACACTAAATGACCTGATTAAAAATATTCCAGATGCTAAAAAACTTGTTAAATATTGGATATGTCTTATACGTATTGAATCAATCACAAGTCCTATTGAAAATATTATCTCAATCTATGAGAGAGCTGTTCTAGCAGGGGCTCAGGTAAGGCTAAAATTTATTGTTCTCTTTTATTATAGCGTAAATGAGGTAGGATTATTTTGGAACATGTCACAGTGTAAAATTGTCCTCATATATACTGGAGTAATAAATATTTAAAGATCACAGTGGGTATGTCACTCAGTAGTACAGCACAGATACCTGCCTGGGTTCAGTCTTCAATCTCTGGTACGAAATATAAATAAGGATTGCATTACACATGTTGTTTCTCAACCTTTTAAAATTCACTCAGGTACTAGGGTGATGACTAGATCTTAAAGATATAAGCTGATGTCATTTTAATGAAACTTTAGAGAGATATTTTTAGTATGTGTCATTTTGTGCATTTCCTAGGTGAAAAATTTGCTGAGACATTATAATTTTAGTATCTTGCTTATTGGATATAAAGCAAATGGAATTAAATTGACTTTTAAAATATTACCAAGCTCAGATGGCATTGTGAGAGAATTCTTTCACTTCAAGAGTATACCAGAATGCCTCACACTTATAACTATGTAAATTGTTCTTGCTCACATAAAGAAAATAACAGAAAACTAATCTCCTTAATTTTACTGTATTACCGGCATACTGGTTTGATATCAAACCTGTCACCTGTTCCACTTGGTTAATAGATAAATCTCAGTGTACAGAACACATTTCTTGAGAGGGTTTTTTTGTTTGTTTGTTTGGATTCACTTGTTTTTGTGGATAAATGTTCCCAAAATATCTCCTTTTGAAAAATTTCTCAGTGGTACATTTTTTAAAGATTTTTATGTCACTGATTTTTGAACTACTCTTTTTGACCTTTTTTTTAATCTTTATTGATTTGGTACAGGGTCTTGCTACACAGCTTGGACTCGTAGTGATTCTCCTTTCTCAGCCTCCCCAGCACTGAGATTACAGGCATGTGCCAAAATGCCCGGTTTTGGTGACCCTCCCAGTGGGCCTGAGGTTCAAGGGTTGGCATGACATGTGGTATTGGGGATCAAACTCCAGTCCCTGAGCTTGACAAGCAGGCACTTAGACCCTCAAGTGATCGCTCCAACTCTTTTTTGACTTTTTTAAAGAAATGTCCATTAATTTTAGTCTTAGAAAACCAACTAATATTAATAGACCTTGCACTGGAATCAAAAGTTAAATATTAGCATCTGTGATGTGTTTGATCCACATTGCCACCAAAAATGAAACAAAGCACAGCCAATATTCTGTTAATGGGTCTTAGGTGTAAAATATCTTCTTGCAGGATAATTGTATTTGGTAGAATCATATTTGAAGGCAAGTGTTAGGTCCTTAGTACACTGAGCCAGAGGGATCATTACTAAAAGCAATTTATGGCAGTGTAGCAAGTATAGAAAACTGGAACCAAGGCTGCTGATAGAAGGTAGTAATATGAAGATGAAGATGTGACATAAGTAGCCAAGAAAGTTGAAAGTATAGTGGGTAAGTAATTCTAGCACTAACTGAAACTGAGACTATCACTAAAAGCTTCTGTTTCATATAATATATTGAATATGTCGTATAAACAAGCATGGTAGTTCAAAGGTACATAATAAGAGACTACAATAGCTAATAAAAAATAATTAGTTTTTGAATGAACTACGTTGGGCTCATCAGAGATGTATTTAATAGCATATAAAATAAAAACATAACCATGATTTCTTCCAGTTAACCAAGCAGCAGTAGTTACTGAAGGCTTAAGAAAAAAGCTGGAGAGGGCTGGTGAGATGACTCAGTGGTCTAAAGCACCTACTTAGAACAAGCTTAGCAAAGCACATAGACCGCGGTTCAATCCCCCAACACCATATGCCATCCAGCCCTGCCCCCTGGTGGGCTGAGCTGGCCACACACACACACACAAAAATTAAAAAAAAAAAAAAAAGTACTTTTAAAAAGCTGGAGAAAATTTTAAACTATCTTTAACTTCATGATTTTATTTTGTAAGTTGTAAATAAGATTGAAAAATATAAGAAGCATAGCTTACAAAACATTGCCTTATTTTAAAATATGAAGTTTTAATTGCTGATTTTAGTATTTTCAACCTAATTTCTGAGAATATAAAATTTACATGGATCTGCTTTTTTCATTGAAATAAATTAAGCCTATTGAAGAAATGCGACAGATAATTGTGGATATTATAACAATGAAGACCCAAGAAAAAAGTAATTGTGGTGAGTCTTAGTTTCTTTTGTTTCCTTTAAGTGAATGGTGATTTTATTATATTTCTGTGCCAAATTAGGTTATTAAAATCTTTTTAAATTTGAAATATAGATTCTCTTTTTATACTTGTTGATCTGCCTTTGAGATAAAGTAGAGATCTAGTTCAAAATCCAAATTTATCATTATCTATAAAAATTGCTCACCACTTGTCTTAAAATGAGGAAATATCGGGGCCGGAGAGATGGCTCAGTGGAATAAGCGCTTCCCTGGCAAGCACAAGAGCCTGAGTTTAATCCCCGGTTCCGCAAGAAACAAAACAAAACAAAAAAAAAAAAAAAAAAAATGAGGAAATATCCAGGGGAATATGGGGGGTGTATGTGATCTGATGTGAAAAGTGGAAGCAAAAATGTGATGAAGATGAAGATGTGACAAGAGAGTCTGATTCCCTGTAATTCTCACTACCTCTAGAGACATGTACAAGGATAAAACTAGTTTTTAAATCTAATTGTTGGGGCTGGGGAGTTGGCTCAGTGGAATAAGCACTTCCCTGGCAAGCACAAGGGCCTGAGTTCAATCCCTGGTTCCACCAAAAAAAAAAAATAAATAAATCTAATTGTTTTTCTTTCATTTTTTCCCCCTACATTCTAAGTTGTTTTCTATCAGATGATGTAGAAATATAAGATCCAAACAGAAAACCTGTCTTCTAAGTCAGTTTTTTTTTTTTTTTTTTTTTGGAACCAGAAATTGAACTCAGGCCCTTGCGCTCACCAGGGAAGCCGCTTATTCCACTGAGCCATCTCCCTGGCCCCTAAGTCAGTTTTTGTAAACAGCAAGAGAATATTAACTTGGAAACGTAAGGCAAATAATGAAGACAAACACCTTAGACGTCTCTCAGATGTCTCAAACCCACATATACAAAGCTGAACACATGATTTTTTCCTAAATTGGATCCTCTTTTTGATTTCCTGTTTTATTGAGTTGGTGCTATTTGGTTGACCATGGCAGAAACATGGGGTGACGTATTACTCCCTCACTCTTTCCTCCCTTCCCACATCAGCCAACCAAATTCAGTCTAAGTTCATAACGATCTGAAAATCTCTGCTTGCCATCCTTCCTCTCTACTCTGGCCAAGATCATCTCAAGCTTTTATCTGAACAATCACAGTCCTATCCTTACTTAGTTTTCTCCCTCTTTCTTCTTGCTCCATTCCAATCCATTCTCAACATTATGGCCAAGTTACTCCTTGAATTCTTGACTCTATATTTCCTTCTTGTCACTTTCCATCTCCCCTGCATTCATGAGTTTCTTAGTTTTTCTGGAATGGGTTAGAGTGTCTTTTCCCTTCAGGACTCTGCAGGTCAATATACTTTTTCATAACTTCATATGTACTTTAATTCCCCAAAGTAACCTCCTCAAACACTCTGATACTCCTTTCCCTCACCCCACCCAACCTGGGTTAAATGCACCTGTTTTGTTCTCCTTCTGTTTTCCCCATACAATATTTCATGCAATTGATTACTTGTTTTGTTTTTCAAACTATAAACAAGTGTATTAAGGACATTATCTGATCTTCCTCACCATTGTACCATCAGTGCTGCTGTAATGCTTAGCGTATATTAGGCACCTAAATATTAATTGAATTAATAGTTCCATATTCTTTCTTTCCCTGTTTCCACTGCCACTCACTAAAGAACCACAGCCAATTATGCTACAAAACCATCTCAGTAAAACCTAATGATTCTTCTAAGAATTAAATCCAGAGACCTTTTTACCTCAATGAATTTGCCAGGATGTCTCTTTAAGACTTTAAAATCTAGCCCTGTGCAGTGGCACATGCCTATAATCTTATCTACTGAGGAGGCCTAGACAAAAGGTTTAAAAAATTTAAGCCAGCCTGAGCAATTTAGTGAGACTGTTTCAAAATTTTAAGGGGGCGCTCTCTGCCTCCCTTTCTCCCTCTCTCCCCCTCTCCTCTACCCCTTTCCTCCCTCCCACTCTCCCCCCTCTCCCTCCCTCTTTCCCCCTCTTCCTCTCTCCCTCTCCCTTTTCCCCTTTTCCCTCTTCCCAGTCCTCCCCCTTCAGTGTCCTTGAGTTCATGGCCACTAGTGGAGGTGGGACCAAATGTAACCCTTTCAAACCCAACATCTCATTCTCAGAAAAGAATAAAACTCTCCTCAATAAAATAGTTGGCAGCAGCATTTTACTTAGGAAATGATAGTTTGGTTCTTTTAACTTGAAGATTTAGCCAGATAGGAATAGCTATATATTGTCTTCTACTTTTAGTTCTTAAAATTGGCCAAAAGTATAAATCTATGCAATTCAATGTATTTTTTATAGGAGGAAATGTTGAAGATGTTTATAGAACCAAGGAACAAATCCAGGAAATCAACATTGAGGATACAAGTGTTGATCCAGAGCTAGGAAAACCAGAAATGGAGAACAAACATAATAGAAATGTAGTATTTGAAGATTGTGAACAACAGCAAGATGACAAAAAGGAGCCAACTGATAATTTTAAAACCCCTGAGACAGAAAATAGATCAAGTTGCTTAATTAAATATAACATATCTACTACACCATACTTGCAAAGGTAAACTTTTATAATATAAAGTACAATGATTTGTTCTCAGGCTTAGTGATTTTTATTTATTGATGTTAAAGATCAAACCCAGGGCTTTGTGCCTTCTGAATAAGTGTTTTAGCATTTAGCTGCATCTCCCAACCTAAATAATACTTAAAAATTTTTTATGATAACTTCAGATTAGAACTATCATTTATTAATATGGAAGTTTTCAAAAAAGAAATGTCATGGGGGCATTTTAACCTTCTAAATACTGTATGGGCTTGGTTTTCCCTAACTATTGATACTTTAGCAAAGAAAACTTATATTACTTTAATCTCTATTAACAGAAGTAGATTCTAGAACTGAAGGAATTAATTAACCTGATTAATCAAGTATCTACTGTGTGCAAGTTCTAGCAACAGAAAAACTAAATTCCTCACTTTAAGGAGCTCGCAGTATTTCTCAGTTTCTGTAAGACAGTCACATGGCTGTAATGTACAATACGATAAATAGCTTAAAAGTACAAAGTAAAAATACTAACATTTTTAAAGTTTTCAGAATAATTTTGGAGGGTTTTTTTCCAGCATAAAAAAGAAGATGCAACTTGATGAAACAAATTCTGCATTTAAAGAGCTCAAGTTTCTAACACCGGTGAGACGTTCTCGACGTCTTCAAGAGAAGACTTCTCAGTTGCCAGATATGTTAAAGGACCATTACCCTTGTGTGTCTTCCCTGGAACAGTTATCAGAGTTAGGAGGTGAAACAGATGCTTTTGTGTGTCGTCCTAATGTAGCTCTGTGCCCTATGTACTCTGAGACTGAGACCTCAGAGGAGAAATAAAGTTCCAGAAGGGAGTGAGGGTTTTTATTATTCCTGGGGTGTTGGTGAAGCTTCATATTTCCTTTGAACATGAAGTTGGCCAAGTATTTAAGTATCTGTGGAAGTAAGATCCTATACCGACATTCATGTCATAGGAGTTGTTCATCTGTGTAGAAAGCTAACCTGACCAGGTCAGTCTCAACAGACTGAGTTTTTAAGATACATAAATTTTATCCATTTCTTTTCCATATTCCCTAAATATAGATCAATTTGTTATAATGTTATCTTGTTCACTTTATTAACTTTCAAGTATAGTAATGATGCATCATCAAAAAATGAGGTGTTCTAGATAGAAGTTATATTACATGAACATGTTTCAAAAAATTTGATACATTTCCCTGTCTTTAAACAAAATACTGATAATTCTTTATGGCTTGATTAATGTGAGAGTCAAAATTTAGAGCTGAGAGCTAGACATGGTGTAGCATGCCTGTAATCCTAGTGCTCAGAAGGGTGAGGCAGGAAGACTAAGTTCAAGGCCAGCCTGAACCACTTAATGAAACTCTTGTTATCAAGAATAAAACAAAACAAAACAAATCAAGAACTTGAGACAGGAAAGATGGAATAAAGCTCAGTGATTAAAAGTGCATGCTTAGCATACCTGAAGTCCTATATTTGATACCTAGCACCAAACAGAAAAAGTAAATAATTGTAATGTGTAGAGCTATTCCTTTAAAGTATTAGGGTATTCAAGGTTTAGCTTGTTTTTTTCCAAACTCATGTTATTCAGACTATTATGCTCTGTTGCATCCATTGACCAGCCTTGGTTCTTCTGTCTTTTCTGTCTATGATGGTGTGTATCTGTTGTCTTTCCCTTTGTCTCTTGATTATAACTTAGCTTGCAGAGAAATTGTTAACAGGATACCCGTCTGAGGTATTTCTTGAAGTATATGAAAAAAGTGGTGCCTAATTTAGTGGATGTTCAAAACTTTTATCTGAGTTTTTTCCTTTGTTGTTTTATGCAGCTTGATTAACAGTGTTAAAATTTTACCTTTCATAGCTTCATTTTGTAGTTTATAAACTAACAAGAGTTTGGGACAGACCTATATATTTAACATCATAGTTTAGGTAGCATTTCTAAAATAAGTAAAGTTTTCTTTTTCTCACAAATAAATACCACCAGGAAAATTCTAAGGTTCGAACTAGTACTTACATGGCATATCAACTCTTTCACCTTTGTAGTTTCAAATAAATGAATACTAAAAATTTGAGAACTATATGTGAAATATGAGTGCAAATAACACATACTTAGTCTTATGTTCATTCCAATTGTATTTTTATTTTATTTATTCTCTTATGTTCTAAGGGTAGTTTTATTCTTAATATGTTACCTAATGTACAATAAAAATATCTGTATAATGTTCCAATTACACTTCTTTTTGATGCTTTTCTTCACTTTCAGCCCCTTTTTGACTTTTACTTCTAGTAGTTCGTGAGGCTGCAGTGTGGCTCAGTGATAGAGCCCTTGCTGTGCACACACAAGAACAGCCCTGGGTTTAATTCCCAACACTGCTGAACAAAGTTGATGAGATGCCATTTACTTGTGCTGGGGATTGTCTTACTTGTGCTAAGGCCTTGTCTTACCTTCTTATCTGAGACTCAATACCTGAGCCCACAACTGGAAGGAGGAAAGGTTTATTTTAGCTCACAGTTCATATGGGTTTTAGTCCATATTCTGCTGGCTTCAATACAGGGTAGCACAGTAGAGGAGAAACAACTCTTAGAGTCACAGTGAAAAGTAGAGATGAAGGGAGGTGAAGGAAGAGATAGACACAAGCCATGCATCCAGCGACCCACCTCTTCCAGCCATTTCCCACCTAACACCAGTCACCTTCCAAAATCCCCTCCTATGAATGCATGAGGCTTTGGAGAACATTGAAGATATAAGCCTTAACCAGCCCCATACATGGTGAGTACTGCTCTACAGAGCTACAATCTCCAGCCTTCAGTCTCATCTTTTGAAATTCAAAGCATACAGCTAGATTAGTAGTTCTCAACCACAGTTTATGCCACCCTTTCCCCTGCCCCAGACATTTTCACATTCTGGAGACATTTTTGGTTGTACCCCATGAATGTGTGTGTGTGTGTGTGTGTGCACACGCATGTACGCACATGCTACATATAACTGCCTCAATAACTATCCATTCCAGTGTCTCCCGTGCTAAGATTGATAAGCCCTGAGTTAGACTACTGTGTGCTCTACTTGTTAACATGCCTGTGTGTTCTTAGTTATTCTCCCTCCCATCCAAAGAATGTTGCCTGCTGTTTTAGCAGCTGATTCCAAGCCTACAACATGGACTTTGTTAGCGCCAAGCACTACCCCTGGCCTCCTCACTGCTCTCCTGGCAGCCTACCTGTTCACCTGTCAGCTCACCAGTGTCGTCCACAATTTTTTTTTTTTGCATAGTTTCCTGGGCAGAAGTGTTTTGCTTTTCCTCTCCTATAAATGATCTCTTATGAGCTGCAGTCTTATGAAAATTTCTCTGATATTTTCTACTACTTGGCCGTTTTGTAAACTGTCAAAACTACGGACACATTTTAAGGTTCAAGTAAAACACAACCACTGGTCAATGGTTTGTGTTTCAAGTGACATAGTTGCACTCTCTTTTTTTTTGCTTTTGTCGGCATACGATATGTTGCGGCGTGACTGGAATTCTGCATGTTTCTCTTCGGGTCCCTTAAGTACCACACACAGTTTTGTTTTTTTTTTTTTTTTCTCTTTTTTTTTTTTTTTTTTAAGTTTTGGTACCATGGGTTGAACTCAGGACCTTGTACTTGGCAGGCAGGCACTTACTCTACTGAGCTATCTTGCCCAGCCTCTTCAAGTGACATAGTTGCTTCATAACTCATTAACAATATCTACTTCACCTTTGGTTTTGTTGTAGAAAGTTTCTATGTCAAACTTTCATTTTGTCAGAGTTTTCCTATCAATATTTATATTTATTTATTTTGGTACTGGGGATTGAACTCGGGACCTTGCACTTGCCAGGCAGACACTTAACACTGCTGAGCTAGTTCCCCGACAATCCCTATCAGTATTTCTATTGTGGTGAAATGTTGACATCAACAGTACCGGTTTGTTTTTCTTTGCCATGTACCAGGCCAATGTATCTTTCCGAAATCCAAAGGTTGTACTATACAATTCTCTGTTTTGAAATTGCAATTTTTCACTTGGAGTTTCTGCTTGTTCCTATGTATAGTTCCTGCATTGGTCAACAGGCGTTCTGTTAGCAAATGTAACATCAATGGGAAATTGATAAACCAATTGTCCAATGTTATGTTACAATTTGGGAGATGGGAGCCACAAGTCTGTTCACAACATTATTCAGTTTATTACTATATGAATAAGGACCTGATGGCTGAGTTCCAGGATAAATGTGTAAACTGAAAGCCTAAGTCTTTGCCTCAATAAGGGCATAAATTTTTAAGCTATAATTTGACCCATTGCTTTTCTGTAAATCTTACTGTGATTACTGTGAGAAATTCCTGCAAAGTACAAGAGACCTATGAGTGCTTTCATTTCAGCTAGTGCAGTGTCCATACAGTTCTGAATATGGTTATTGCTGGATACAGAATGTTTTGCTTGCGTTTAAGTCTTATTTCCCAGCATCCTGTAGCATTTTGTCTTACAATTTCCAACACTGAATGGTAGTCATGGTATTCTGTCCAGTACCTTTCAGCCCTGCTAAGACCCTCACTATATTTTCAAAAACTAGTTCTAACATTGGATCATCCAACATTTCAACTAGTCAAATATGCACCCTTCTGTTTTCTTCATCATCTGAATCAAGATCTGCATTTCCTGTCTGTATCAGTCAATTCTTGCTCCATTTCACTGTCACAAGAACTCTTGCTAGTGTAGCCAGTGTCAAAATCATCATCATCGTCTACCCACACTGCTCTTCTGGTATAAAGCTTATATTTTCTCCTGACGGATTATCTTCATCATCCATGAATACTCTGACTTTTGACCTCTTCCAAACCTTGAAAATCTTGTTTTTCATGTGCCATTGTATTGAATTGGGTTACTTCTGCCAGAAAAATGGAAATAAATTTTTAAATAAAGCTTGAATGATGTGGGTCTATTCGACCCTGTGTGATGCTCAGGTACACATATGCCAATCCAAGTAGCTAGAGCATGAGGTGGGGAAAAATCCCATTTTGCCACTTTTTGCACGTGTACACACACCTTGACATCCATCATCCCAAGTGGGTAAACCTGTAAGCTGCTTGAGGAAAGGTACTGAGACACACACCTGGCTACTGTTAGCTCAAGTACAAATTTACAGTAGGCAAGTAAGGGATGGATCTGCTGGACCCAGTGTCATGCTCCTTATTAGTGCCCCATGCACACCAGAGCCTAACGGGATCTGGCTGCTTCCTTGCAGCCTCCTTGCACCCTGCAGGCCATCCACTGCTCTGTAGTTGAGCTGGAATAAACCCATTTACTCCCGAGGAAGAAGATACTTTCCTGTTTTCTGGGAAATTTACACAACCATAGGATTGGAATGTTGCACTTTAATAAAAACTATAGCTCTCAGGATGCAAACTCAGGAAGTAGCCATTTGAGAGACTGTGCCTGGGTTTCAGTGCATGCTGCAAAAGGGATGTACATCTGCGCTGGGTCAAAAGTTTCCTGACGCAGAGGTGACTGAAGTTTTCCACCTCAGGTCCTCTCCACCAAGTAGTTTGAGGTGTGTCAACCTTTGTCCTTTGATTTTTAACTTTCCTCATAAACTTTAACCCCATGTTTTGTTACTATGTAAGGGTATAAATGCATGGATTTCACAGTAGGATGCAAACATGGGGGTGGGGGCATTAGTCTGCCTTGCACTTAGCTACTAAGGGTGAGAACCAAGCGCACCCCGGTGAAATTTATCTTTCCTGGGCGTCCATTGAAACTAGAGACAATATGGTGTTCCTGGGGGATACTAGCTCAATATTACTAGCTCTGTTCTGGAGCAACATAGAAAAACAGCTTTAAAATGTGCTCTCTGCAGGCCCGGCTACTCCCAAGAGAATGACCTCCCGCCCAGATGTAGGCGGCTTCCAGGGTCTGCAACCCTAAAGACGCCCATCGCCCCGCCCCGCCCCGCCCCGCGGAAGCGCCAGTTTTCAAGCGGTGGCCAAGCGACGGAGCTACGGGGGCTGCGGGGAAGGCGGTGAGGAGAGAGATTGCCTATCCCCTACCCCGGGCGAGGAGCGCGGCGCGGGGCTGTGCGGCCGGGCGAGTGGGCTGTGCGCCTGGGTGCCGGGACCTTCCCTCGGTCCGGCCTGGCACTAACCTCCTGCAGCGCGGAGTCCCGGGGCGGCGCAGGCGGGGGCAGCGCTTGCTCTCCGGGAGGTGAAGTGCGCCTGCGCCCCGGCTGCCAGTGCCCCGCTCCTGCTTAGCGTAGCGAGCGCCTCACCAGCGAGCTGGATGCGGGGAATTCGCAGAGCACTCTAACCAGAGAGGACCCAGTGCTGTTCTTGGCGAAGAAAAAATTGACTGCACTTCCTTATCACTCTCCGTTGCATTAAGTGAAGGCCTGGAAGAAGCAAAGGTCAGGAACGAGGGAAGCATAATGCTAAAGGTTAGGGTAGTGGTAGAGGACTTGTGTCTCTCCTCTGCCCAGATACACCAGAGACCCAACTGATCTTGTAGGTAGCTTTTTAGGACGATGCATGTAATTTGGTTACCTGGAGAAATTATTTCTAGGGTTTCCTGGTAATTTTGTCATAATACAGAAATGTAAACTGAAAGTTTTACACATCCCTATGGTACATGTTTTGGTGTGTGGTTTTGGCCTTTAATCCATTATTTAGAATTCTTTGTGATATAATTGGGGAGAAAAGAAAGAGAGAAGCTCACCTGTAATCCCAGTTCTTCTGGAGGCAGAAACAGAAAGATCTAAAGAGAAGGTCTAAAACAACCTGGGCAATTTAGCAGCTTATTTAGATAGACCCTGTCTCAAAATATACTAAGGGCGGTGCATATAGTTTAGTGTGAAGGCCCAGGTTCAGCTCCCAGCACCATCAAAACAAAACTCTCTGTGTCACCTCACTTACTGAAGTTTATGGTCTCCTCTGCTCATGGCGTCCATGGTGGCAGGGACCAGGAGAGATTTGGGGAGGGTTGTAGCTATAACTCAGAGTCTATCTGTTCCATGAAAGTGGGAGGAAGGAAGAACTCTTTCATTTTCTGAGAGGCCCTGCAGTTAAACTAACAAAAGACAGATTAAACAGGGAAAAGGTTTTAGTACCTATGTGTACAGTGGTCCCTCACTTATTGAGGAAGCTATGTTCCAGACACCCCTGCGATAAGTGAAAATCAGGGAAGTAGAGACGTTATGTTTATTTTAGTATTTATATATATTTTAAGGCTTTATAAGCCCTTCACACACTCTTATAACCCTTTCCCACACTTTTAAAAACACTTCTAATGTTCTTACCCATTTTCTAAACTCGTAAACCTATGTAATTTTAACAATATACTTAAACAGCACAGTACTACAAAATCCCACGATATAGAAAAAATTCTTTTTTTTTAAAGTTAAAAATTCCTTAATTTTTTAATCCTGGTACCACTACCACAATTTACAGGGCAATATACCTGATGTAATGAAAAGAAAGAAAAAGACAAAGCTACAACAGATAAAAGACCTCAGGAATGTACATCTAATTGACACT